GGGAAGCGTATCTGTAACCGGAAGGTCGCCGGTTCGATCCCCGTGCTCTCTGTCCTGGTCGTTGTGTCCTTGGGCAAGACACTTCACCTACCGCCTACTGGTGTTGGTGTTGGGGGGGTTGCTCATGTACTGGCTCTAAATTATTTATTTCGTATGGATTTTTAAAGGGACATGCAATTGTGATCATTATGTCATATAATGACAATAAAGCTATTCTATTCTATTCTATTCATCCACTGTGACACCTGAGTGGAGCATATGCAGTGGGTGGCTGTGGTCCTGGAGTCCCTCAGGCAGATGGGGCTTACAGTCAACCTGAAGACAAGTGCAGTTGGATGGAGGGAGGTACAGCATCTGGGGCACCAGTTGGAGAAAATCCAGTGCGTGGCTGACTCCGTTCGTTATTACCTCCTGGTCTGCCCTTTCACCCTCTGAGCGGTGGGTTCACCTGTTATTCATCACACTAACTACACCTTACCTATTTCAGTAGCCGCCGGGCCTGGAGGAGAGAGCTGTGTGGTGTGAGTGAGCTGTAGGGGACAGCTTAAAAGTTGCATGTAGATTAAAGAGCAGAAAGCATTGCAAATAAAAATGACTGTCATCAAACTGCTAAGCATCAGGTCCTTCTTGCTACAGCCTCCTCTGCCACCCAACAATACTGGTTATCTATAGTCCTACCGGGGGATGATAAGACCATCCTGACTACGGAGCTGATTGGCCAGTCCTTATTCAAGGTCTGTTCCTGTTGATAAAAGTGAGCCAGCACACAAAGCTAAGTGGAATATCTACATCTAGACAATTGCATCTAATGTAATAATGCTGCAATACTTCAAAATGCACCTGTTTAGCCTACTGATGTTTCAGTATTTTCTTTACTACTAATCTTCAAGTTGATTAACCAGAAATGAATGGCATGTGTCCACAGTGGGTTTGGCTATGAGCTGACCTCTATCTTTGCATAATGGTTTTAAAACGGTGATTTGTCTCCACATTTGTCTCCTCAGCTTGGGTCACAATTGTTCCTCTAGAGAACTAAGATACATTGTGTTGCCAGGAATTATTCACTGGTTTCTTGAAAAGGTAATGGGCAACCTCACAAATGATTACAAGTCTAGAAAGCTCTAAAAATAAAGTTTGTGATTGTGGGGTTTAGTATTGTATTTAGCAGCGTGAATGCTCACAACTTTGTTGGTAATTCTGTCAGACTGTATAATGCAGCCGCAAAGAGCTTGCATCAACACACACACACACACAAACACACTTGCAGATTATACCACATTGCAAAACAGAATAACACATAAACACAAGCAGGTACTGGGGAGGTTATTTAACTAACTATCAGTTACACAGTGGAACTTTGAAGTGGGTCTACTTCTGCATACCGTATTTTTCATATTAAGCAGTGGCAGTCAGACCTTTTACTGATGTTAAGATGGAATTACTGAGACAGGAATAACACAGTTACCTGAGGTTTTACAGGTCACTCATCTCTGTCCCTTTGAATTACAAAAAGCAGCCCAGTGCCAATCACATCAACATTTTAGATTTTTCGTTGTCAAACAATGTATATGGTTAGGGTTAGCCTAACCCTACATTTACTTAGCCATATGCCGGGTAGCTAAATTCAACTCATGTTGCACTCTGACATTTAGTCTGTGCAGATGGAAATTGTAATAGACATATTTCTGTTAACACTGGTGGACACTGTGTCCAGTGTTTTAATGCCAGGTATGAAATGCCTTGCATGCTCAACCATCCAAGTAAGGAAATCCCAAAAAGTTGATTCTGTTCATCTGGACGTAGCGTTTTCACTGGGAGAAACATTTCGTCACTCATCCAGGTGACTTCTTCAGTCTCAGCTGACTGCAGGTTTCCAACCTTATAAACTGTACATTTGCACAATGACTAAAAGTGGGTTGGCCAAAGACGTTTTAGATGTTTTAACCCACTTTGGCAAGGACTGCCTAAAGCTTGTACGTCTCTCCCACAAAACGCTACGTCCAGATGAACACAATCAACTTTTGGAGATTTACTTACCTGGATGATTGAGCATGCATCAAGACTATTCAGTTATCATAGTTTGCCTCTCAAGCTTTTTGTTAGCAATATTCATATGTAACATGCCCTTAAGCCAAATTTTTTAAAACTCATGCCGTACACTATAAGCTGTGGGCTGTGAGTATTTGAATGCTTCAAAAAAGACTGCTGTCCGGCTAACTAAGATTTTGATGTGCACGTTATGCTTACGATCACAACTTTGGAGGTCCCAGTCATGCAGCAACACGATTAATTAATGACTAGGCTTGTGTTGTGGTTAGATCATCTTTTGTCTGTTTCTGATGTCTTCATCCTGCCATATGATGTCATTTGTTCTGCTCTTCAACATGAAATGAAATGAAGGCGCAAATAGCTAATGATATCCAACTTAACACTGAACAGCATATAGAAAAGTCATCTGCAACATTGTTCTCTGGCCATTGTGGGTCTTTGATGTAGACGTGTCTGTAGACAGGTACACTGAATGCTATGTTTGTTTATCACTTGAATATCCCAGTTCATACACTTTGGAGAATGACTGCCACCAAGAAATCTGAGTACACAACTAGTATAGTAAAAATGATCGGAAATATGATCGTATATTCGATGCAAATAATAGAAAGTGAAAATTGCACCAAACCAAGTGCCTCTTGGATGGTGTCAGATTTTCCAGCAGCACAAATCCTGCTACATATGTTTTTTTTAGAATGTACTGTATATATCAAGTAATTACATTAAAACATTTTCTTGCAGCACCATTAGGTAACTGCCAGACACTTCAACTCCCTGTGTGGCGTTAAATACCTCCCCAACACTTAGTTTAACACGACACTTCAAATAACAGCAAAATTAATTTATTCATCCAACAAAAAATATTGAGAAAGTCAGGGTAACTGGTAGCGAGGCAGGAAGGGAAACACTACTAAATTAAAAATGAACTCTACAAACAGGAAAGGATGTTGTTCTTCATGAGTTCATGTCATTACCTAGCATTCAGAGAGTAAGGCTGCTATTGGCTCTGCACTTACTTCTCTCTTCAACGCAAAAGGAGGATAGAGGAGGAAGAGGAGAAGGAAGAGGGAGGCTCTCCAAACCAAGAGGAAGTAAAGGAAGTAGAGGTGGGTTGGTGGGTGGCAAAAAGGTAGGTGGAAGCGTGGGAGTGGGTTGGGTGAGTGGAGGAAAGGCAGAGAGGGAAGTGGTAGAGAAGAGGAGTAGGTGGCAGTGGGGTTCTTGGGAGACAAGAGTAGTAGACTGGTGGTAGGGAGTAATGTTCCCTCTAAGGGTCTGGACACACTAGAACAAATCCATATCACCTGACTCTGAGTACATACTGCACTGTTACTAGTGAGTGTGGGATTTTTCTTAATGTTGTTTAACAGATTGTTTTTAAGTGCTCCTATTATGTGCAAAGATAACCAGGCCCAAACCCAAATTAAGACTGCTAATGAAGTACTAAAGCAGTGACCTGCGGTTGATTTGTCTTTGGTGGTGTTCCCTATCTTCCCAATACTCACATACGCATGTGTGCTCTTTTGATTTTCTTTTAATGAACATTTTCCTGAAGTAAACTTTCTAAAGAATCGTGTTATGTTGTATATTGCTGTCTGCAACGCATGTTTGATAAAATATTGGTTGGGACAAAAAATAAACATCAATGCCAGAGTACTTTTTGTCTTTTTAGCAGTAGATCTTCACAGTTTTCAGTCTGATTTTGAAATCCTTGTTGCTTTTTCATTGGTTTGCTTGTTTATTTACTTTTAAAGCCCAGCATGTAAATGGGTGGTGTTTGGTGTAGCTTTTAGGGGGGGTTTCTAGCTTCCACTTATTATTGCTTTCAATGTGAAAGAAGCAAGTAACTATAGCTCTTATGTGTCCTGAACTTATCAGTATGACGATGCAGTTATCACCACTACTTGCATTTCTGTGCAAACACTCATGAAGTCAGATTTCTCAATTTACAAATAATATGTTCTAAAACACCTAATCGTATTTGTAAGAAATCAGTTTTAATTCAATAAAATGATTTAATTATTTGTATTTAAGTCATTGAGTTAAAAGAAGAAAATACCAGGGTTATCTAAATATAATAGTATAAGTGGTATAAATATGATATTTTTTTACATTGTCAAAAGGTTCTCAGAGTTGTAAACTGATGAATGTGGCGAAGCCTTCATTATTCTAGTGTGCCATCAGTTATAGTCAGTGATATTCAGTAGTACTTTCCAGTCATGTAAATCTGCAGTTTTCACTCCAACCAAACACCAAACAACATAGGAACATACAAACTCTCAAAGCACCTAAGCAATCGCTTACTAAACCCTGTCTCCTAAACTGAAACATAATTCATCCTGGGTCATGTTTCTTGCTAACCTGCATGAAGGGCCCTTGCTGAAGTCCTCCATCACTGCCGTCTATTCATCATTTTGTGATGACTGGGTTTCCCATGGTAGGAGCATTCTTAAACCGTCCAGAAATATCTGTCATTAAATCTATTTTCCAGTTTATTTAAGTTAGTTTCAGTCTTTGATCACTCTACTGCTCTCCCACTTTTGAATACAAATAATCAGTCATACAGTGCCTGATTGACAGAGCACATATTATGATAATCAAGTACATTATTTTTTAATATTAAGTTAGATATCTAAGAGAAGTGTTTATGACTTATGTGTTAATCTTTTAAGAGTTCATGAAGTCTTTGTAGTGATTTTTCTCAAAAGGGCTGTCAAGTGCCCAGTTGTTTTGGCATTGATAGAGCAAAAACCTGTCACATATCTGCTAAATAAAAACAAACTTATGGACTCCACTTGGTTTGCCCTTGTCTACCTGGAACTGTAGGACTGGACACCACTGACTTAGAGGAAGCATTGATGGAAAAAAGTAAGTTGTGGAGAAAAGGGAATCAACAGAGGGGGGAGAAGGTGAATTGACTGGATTTGAATGGGGGTTGGGGAGGAATTATTTACCTGTAAGAAATGGCAAGCGCGCTCCTGCTGCTGACTGCCCTTAGATTTGACTAGAGCTCTATCTAGGTTTAGGTTACCGGATCCTGCGCTGGCTCGTGGCTGGTTGTGGCTGCTGTTGTTGGTGTAGACCTCTCGGGCCCTGCTCACCGTTAGGCTTGATGACCATGGCCCTTTCTTCACAAGGGGCCCGTCCACAAGACCCACTGGAAGCAAGGAGCCACTTCCTCCACCGATACCGCCACCGCTGTTATTGCTGCTACCACTAATTGGCACACATGCTGTCGACGCTGCATACTTCACATCGTTGTTGCTCCGGGAGGCTTTGAGTGCAGAATGGTGGTGTGTGTGGCCATGGTGTGCATGGGTGTGTGTGTGCTCGTTTAGTGTGCCGTAAGGGTCCATCATGAAGTACTGCTGGGACTGCGAGGAGGAGAGACTGGGGAGGGGAGTCTGGGGGAACTTGTCTGGGTTGTTGCCGGGATACCGGCTTATTGTCATGGCAATAGGCGAGGGGGAAATGGAGGGGGAGGGTGAGGGTGGAGGTTGGTGGTGGTGAGGGTGGTAGAGACACAGCTCCCGTTCCAGGTTGTCATCTGAGCTCCAGTATCCAGAGCCTGGAGCAGATGCTGAGCCGTGGAGCTGGTGGTGGTGGTGGTGGTGGCTTCGATGCTTGGGCTCTGCTGATCTACAGCGCTCACGGCTCTTACTGCGTTTCCGATGGCGCACTCCCACTGGTGGAGTTTCACCTTCTGGGCTGGCCCTCGAGCCACCACCACCACCTCCTCCACCGCCACCACCACCACCACCATTAACACTCCCATTATTGGCCCCCTTGGAGGACTGTGTGTGGTGTGGCCCTTCCAATGAATGTGACTTGGTGAAGAGTTTCTGGACTGAGTGGACAAGATGGCGAATTCTCCCTGGACTGTCATTGTTGTTGTTGGCCCCCATCCCCCCACTGTGGGCCTGCACCCCTCGTTTGTATTGCAATGTATGGTAGCCATCTCTGGAAAATGATGGCTGACGTTCAAACGGGTCCACAAAGTTTGCTGGTACCCGAGTGGGTGTTTTACCCCCATAGCCTCCTCCACCTCCTCCTCCTCCACCACCACCTCCTCCTCCTCCTCCTACATATGGTACCATGGCCATACACTCATCCTTTACCTCAGGATGGTGAGATGAGGAGGTAGAGTGGCACCTCCTGGGGAAGGTTCCATATGGGACGATGCTGTTGCTGTCAGAGGGGTATGAGGTACGCTGAGCATTGTAGTAGGGCAGCTCAGCTGGATGTGGCATGGGAATGGGCACAGGCATGTCCATCTGACTGATCAAATATGGCTTGCGGTCAACATGGTGACCCAGTGGATCATATGATGGTTCATAGGAGACCACATGATGGTGACCCCGGCTACTGGACAGGCCTTTCATAACGGGGAAAGATGGGTGAATGGAAAGAAGAAGGATATGGATGAGAAATGCCAGGTAGGCCTGTGATCACAGAAGGGCTGCAGAAGACTGTCCCTGAGCAGAGAGCTACAGACTCTGGAAGAAAGGGAGAGAAGAAGCAACAAAAGATCAGTTAATAACCAGTTAAGCCACCAGGGGCTTTCTGAGCTTCCTGCTCAAAAAAGACATGCCCAAAATGAGTGGAGTGTTTCTCTGCAATTACAAACTCTGTGTAAACAATCTTGGTATCAAAACAAAGTTAACATTTGTGAGATTTCATCAGAGGTGTAAATACTACAACGGATGTTACTGTGTCAAAGTTACTGAGGCTGGAACACAGAAAAAGTAAGTAGATTTTTTTCCTCAAGTTATTTGTTTTTTTTTTTTTAGCATATAACCACTTTGAAAATATACTTTGGTTCACATTTAAATTCATAAAACCAGTAATCAACATATGAAAAGTGCAAAGATTTATGCTTCTGAAGTGAAACAGTGAAAAATTATTGCGCTTTTAATAAATAAATACATGTTCAGACGTTGTCTAGTTTGTCCAATTTTGGCACACTCTGACACCACGTGTGAATTTAAATTTTTGAGGTATTGAACAGCAGACACTATTTAAATTCAATTGCATGTCTAAAAATGCTTGTTTTTTGAATATTTTTGAAGAATTACCCACACACTCACATCCAGCGGCCTATTCTGCCGTGCGCCATAGACAGTTTAAATAGGTTTTGGTGCCTTAAATTCTGAGGGGCTGTAACTTCAGCTTCTATTGGCTGATTTGCATGATTGACACCGCTTTTTAATTGTTTGAGCCAATAGAATCACGATAATTATGCCATGTTCACATCAGTTCCACCAATCAGAAGTTGCAAGTTGAAAACTCCACATGACCCTAAAAGTAAGACACAATCCAGTAATGTGACTGTAACTTGGCTGAAAATGGCGATTGTTGATGTGGCTCTGATGCATTGTGTTAGCACCTCCATTATCAGTAGCTACAGCTATCGGCTATTGGTGGGGAACAGCGCAGGAAAACGCTCAGCTAAACGGCTTTCTGCTTTAGCACATATGGAAAGTTATGCATATTTGTGGTCTTCTTTGCCACTGGTTCAATGAACTTTGGTCGGAGCGTGGTGAAACTTGCAGATTTCAAATCTGTGAGATCTCTGGTTGCTAACTAGGCAATGTTTATCCAGTTACACGAAGTCGAGTGAGTTCTTACCTCCATTGTTTGTGTTTAGTGAACTTTTGCGAAATTATGTAACTGTTCTTTAGTGTTTGGTCGTTGTAGAAATGGTTTATATGAGCTTTTAGCTGAGATTCTGAGGTTTCTGTGGATACCACACAGGTCGATATCTGCATAAAAGACCTGACGGAAGGTTAAACTGCAGTTCATCCCCTTTGCTCCCCGGTGGCCTTGGGGCTCAAGAAGAAATCCAACATAAATTATTGCTGTTTAAGCCACCAGAACTCATAAGTCCCTGTTGGAAGAACACATTTTAAGGGTTTTCAAAAAGATACTCTGAGCTAAAATTGATCACGTTTAAAGTGAGTCTAATTTTTATAGCAAACTCTCAAAGCTTTATATCAGGGGTGCCCAATCCCGGTCCTCGAGAGCTACCGTCCTGCAGCTTTTAGATGCATCCTTGTTCCCACACACCTGAATCAAATGAATGGCTTGTTATCAGGCCTTTGCCAAACATGATGGCATGCTGAAGAGATCAAACCATTTGATTCAGCTGTGTTGGAGTAGGGATGCATCTAAAAGCTGCAGGATAGTAGCTCTCGAGGACTGGGATTGGGCACCCCTGCTTTATATGTACAGAGTTTGCATATATAGAATTACTGATAGAAAAGGTAAGGGCTGAGTTCACCTTAATACACCTTACTATAGCTTATTAAACCTACCCTTTTTATATACAACATATTGCAAATGTCAACAGTTTCAGACAGTTCTAAACTTTATCAGCAGACATGACCAAAAAAAAGAAAAAAAAGACAAAACTAATTTTTCATGAACAATGATAATTATACTTTAAGTTTGAAAGAAGATTGTTTTTCTTTGTACATTACCAGTGCAATGTTGAAGACAAGTAAGTTTAAGTTTTGTAGCAAGACGGTGGGCTCATAATAATCCAGTCCATTTATAATTGTTGTAAATTTCCTCTGTACCATTTAAGCTGTATTTGTGTTATGTTTGTTAGTTTCTTGTTAATTTTGTAATTCTGTTTCTCTATAATGCCACAGAGTAGGTTATATATGGGACTAGGGACCAACATTGTATATATAAATAACTATTTAGATCAAACATCTCTTTAGTTTTATATGATATGGTTTTGGACATTTTTGCTTTTACACCTGTTTACATTGAGCCTTCCAACATAATATATATTCAATTAACACACAGAAATTTGGTTTCATACTCTGAATATCATTCATCATAATTTTGACTTTATTTTTTTATTTCCTTGTTACTTTATTTTGCTGTAATGTAGTGATATTTGATTTACATCAAACCATTCAATTCCCGTTCCACTGCATTTAGAAACCATTTGAACCTTTTCCAGAGCAATATACAGTTTAGGGTCCAAAATCCTTGGTGTTTGGAGGAAGAAACACTACGTGCATCATGGGAAATCCCTAGCAGCCTGTGCCTATTGCAGCGCAAATAAAGGAGAATGCAGGGTTACCTGATCCTGCCACTGTTACTTTAGTTCTGTTTTAGAACCTTATAAAGTACATTTTTCTTTTTACATATATCCTCTTTTCAATTGTGATCCATGACTTTTCCACACATGACTGTTTCCTTCTGAGTTTTCTTACTGGACAGATTTTTTAATCTTGAGACATTGTTAATGAGGACAACAAAGCCCCATAGGCTCATCATTAATATAAACAGGTTACAGGTTTATTTCATTAGATCTGTCTTATGGGCAGTGATGGTTTCTGGTGTTCTGTGTCATATGACTTTACAGATACACTGGGGCAATAATTATTTGATCATCTGCTGAATTTGTAAGGTTGCTCACTTTCAAAGGAATTATATTTTTTTATGGACAGAGACAAAATATCAACAACACAAAAACACCACATTACATAAAAGCTGTAAACTGATTTATGTTAATCTTGACTGTGAGGATGGTGTTCCTTGGGCCATGCTCAGCATTTCTCTTCCTCCAAACAGGTTGAGTTGATGCTGAAAAGCCCCATTTTCTCCCAAGCCTTCTTTGAATCATTTTGATGTTCAGAGATATTACCAATGGTGTTCTTGGTGACTGTGATCCCAACTGCCATCCAAATATTGCAGAAATCAATAGACACCGGACCAGACAAGATTTCTTTGTTTTTTGTTTTTTTCCTGTCTATACAATCCACATAGATCCACATTTTCAGATGAAAGTATTCCTTTTTTGATGAAAGTATTCCAAGATGTTAAGACAAACAGCCAAGTCATCTATTAATTGGAGGTTTGGTGGTTCTGTCCCCGTCTGATCCAGTCTGCATGCCAAACAGGGCAAGATACTAAGCCTCTCCGATGCATCCATTGGAGTATAAATGTGTGTGAATCTTAGATAGAAAGCACTTACATAGAAAGAGCATAGAAAAAAGTGCTGGTGTGAATGGGTAAATGAGGCAAGTTGTGTAAAGTGTTTTGAGTGGTCAGAGAAAAGCACTATATAGGAACCAGTCCTTTTACCATTTGCTATTCTAGTATTTGTAGCTTCTAGGTCACAGATCCTCTCAGTCTCTAGCTTTAGTAGTTGCATAAGTTTGGTGTTAAGCACGCATCATATCACATAAGGTTATCATATCTAGCAGAATAATCTTTTTTAAAGGGTTCTTTAGCTGTTTAATTTCCTGCATAGGCTCATGCTTCATAGCTTTCTGTTTACTTTATTTCACTCATCTGAGATCAGAGATTTACTCATCTCCTGCATTATTAGCTTTCTCTGTTGGAATCTTAATTTGTTTTTCTGTTGTTTTCAGTATTTCACTTTGTTTTGCTGGAGTAGCTGCACTTCATAGGGTTTTTGAATTTGTTTGTTTATTTGTTTTATTTAGCCCTGGGAACTGTAGTCCAAAGTAAATTCAGATCAGGCTTTTCCTTATCTAACTTCTCTTACCATAGCATCAGTAATCCTACTAAGCAGTCACATAAACATAGCTATCCCCATGATAAGTCAGCCGAGGATTTCCAAACTGAGCTACAAGTATGTTCTCATGATAAGGGTGTCATTGACAGTGTATGACCAATTAAAAACATGCACAACTCTACTAGTAGAAGAGGAGCATGATTTCTGACTGCCAAACTGTCATATGAATTCGATTCACATTTATTTTATTTATATAGCACAAAATTACAACAACAGTTACCTTAAGCTCCTTTTTGTTATAAGGTAAAGATCCTACAATAATTCAAAAACCTTACAATAATACTAAGACATGCACACATAATACAAGCCAAGACGCACTGAATCATCAATGTGTCTTTTAGACAAACCCCTCTGTTCTTTTAAGATTGGTCTTAAAACTTTCTTTTCTGACACAGCATTAGTTATGGCTGGATCAGGTAACCCTAAATCTTCCCTTGTGTATGTTGCATTAAGTCTAGGCTTCTGAGGGTTTCGTATGATTCTGAGCATTTCTTCTTTACTCACCTTCTTTCACTTACGTTTATACACCACTCTGCATTTAAACATTAGTTATTATCATTATTATCTGGCTCTCTTTCACAGTGTATCTTTAGTCCTGTCTTCTTTCCCTCACACCAGGCTGGTCGAGGCTAATTGCTGCTTCTCCCTGAGCCCAGTTCTGCCAGAGGTTTCTTCCATTTAAAAGGGAGTTTTTCCTTCCCACTATTGCCAAAGCGCTTGCTCATAGGGGTTTTCTACTGTAGGGTCTTTACCTCATAATATAAAGCAGCTCGAGGCAACTGTTGTTGTGATTTGATGCTATATAAATACAACTGAAGCGAATTGAAAGCGATATACTATAGCTGTAGCAGACCACTGTGTGAAAGGCAATGAATGCATATGGATTTGTGTATGCTTTGGTTCATAACTAAAAATGTGCTAAGAAATTAACAAAGT